CGGACCAGGCAGCAGACGGGACTCGAACCTGCACCCTTCGCAATCCGGGTGAATTACTAATTATGCTACCGCGGCCCTCACGGACCGCGTCGAAATTCTTCTAGCCATTCTTAAGCTGCAAGGCAGCGCCATCTCTCGCATTATAAGCACCCATAAATAATTGGTCAGTGCATTCGCCCGGATTGCGAAGGGTGCGGGTTAGAGTCCCGTCTGCTGCCTGGTCCGCGTGGATTTTTTTCTAGTTATATTTTCTTTAGATTTAAACATCAAACTGTTACATGCTTTAAAATAATACAAATTATAATAGAAAATATTTTTAGGCCATAAGTTCAGATTACCTGGTTTTTTATAGGTTTGAATCAGAACACAGAAAGATGTTAGAAGGGTGATAATAGACCGTTTGTACGGGAACCGATTTCGCCGGCTTGCACCCACCACACTTCTACCTAAGAGATAAAAGCCAATAAAACGACGCGACATGGAACAATCGAACCAATCGGCGCTCACACCCGAGAGCAACGACGCAATCAGAACCAAGTTTTGTTTCAGTTATGAGCATTTGCTCTCACATAACTGTGGCGCCCCGCCCACAAGGCCCTTCTAACCTCGGATAGTAGTAACGAAATTTTTATGGTTATACATATAATGAATTTTGACAAGTTTTTCACGAGATATTATCACGTATGAAAAACCGGTAAGATATGTAGCTTCGTTCGTAGTGTTTAGAGGAATTGTTCCGATTATTCCCAGCTGCTGCTTTTTGCTGTCGTAAATCGCGACAAAAATGTCATTTGTATCATGTTGATTCGTGGCTATGTACAACCTTGCGATTTTGTATTTTTGTCTAATGGTGATTTGTATACAATTTCTTTTTTAAACCACTTAAATGTTTTAGCCTTAGTCCTAACATCAGCTGTAGTCTTTGTCTCCCTACAAATATAATGCTCCCGCCAAAAGCGAAAGTTTCCATAACGAGCTGCTCCCGCGCATAAACAACGGATAATATGCGAGATTAACTTTTTAACGGCTGCATCGAACGATCGTGATAACACGTTCAGAAATCGATGATTTCTTTCATCCTATAATATCCCTTAGTTACATATGTACTGATACCCAAGCATGAACTTTGACAGCTCCGTAATCGTATCATCGTCAAAGTTTTTATGAGAACTAAGCAGAGAACCCCTACCGGACGTAAGAACAAACTGGCCTCTTCCTTACAATTTTTTACGGTGAAGATAATATGATTACGGATCTGTCAAAGTTTGTGCATGGGCCTCTGAATTGAAACAATTGAATGCTATAAGATACTAAAGTTTTTTTTTTACAAAAAAAAGGTCCCCTAGAAATTATACTTCTAGGTACTACTTTTTTAAATCTGAATGCACCATGTAAATAAAAAAGCTGAAAAAATTACCTACAAATTTATTTATTATCTTTACCTATATTTCTCATATAAATGTGGCAATAAAAAAACTAGGTGTTTGTAGAAAGTTGACAGCTTTGCTTTGCAAATAAAATTGCTACGGCTGCCCCAGCCAGCGCCATACGTCTTACAGGTTCGAGTCCCGTCTGCTGCCTGGTGCGCGTGGATATTTTCCTAGTACAAATTTCTTTAGATTTAAACAATCAGGATAGCTACGTTTAAGCCAACAAGACACCTTTCCTTTAATCGAAACAATAGCCAGACATGATTTCGCCTTGAGCAGCTAACCTTTCATCAGATTGAAATCCCCGTACCAACATAGTTGCCCCACCCCCGGCAGTAATGCCACCCCCAGCTCGTTGGCTTAATCACTAAATTACTGAACCGCTTCATGCGCAATACCAAATATAGGTATAAATTCCGTTCACGTATGCAACTGGTAAAAAAATCTACATATTAAGGAGACGTGGTCGCTCTTGAGAAATTTCGTCCTAGGCTTAACATAAATAGAGTCAACATTTATAATAAAACATTGTAGATGTTATTTTTTGTATATGAAAAAATAGTTTAAAATGAACATATGATTTCTGACTGATTGCCTGGAATACACAAAGGAGATCAAGACGATATTCTATTGATTTTAAAAAAAAATCAAGTAGTAGTTTAGATAAAACAAAGCTTCAACGGTTTAAAAGCGTTTATTTATTTGTTTCTTGACGTTTCGCATCCTTTTCAGGCTGCGACATCAGAACTATAATTTTTAAATAAATTCTCTCACCGCCAGAAGAATTTAGAATAAAATAATGCTACAGCCTTCTTTGGATCCGGTAGTAGTTCTTTTAACAGCATAACAGATTTATTTATTTATTTCAGGAAATGAACAGCATTGTCTTAATTCTAGTTACATTTATAATATTTTCTTTAAGTAAAGCCAATAACAGTTTTCCTGGTAACATATTAACTTGCGTAACATTTTTGTGTCTATCTATATAGTTCATTCAAAGATATTTGCCTTTCATTCAAAGAAGCCAAAGCTTTCCCATAATAATCGAGAGTCATTATCATACTTACCATTGCCCATCGAGCTACTGATTTAACTTACGATTCATACGGTTTCGTTAAATGATTTGATGTCATCACATTAGAATCAGTTCAACTATTTCAGCGTACGTGACTCAGTAACAAACAAATATCCAATCAGCTAAGTTTTAGATTAGATGGTTGTTCCGTATAAGGAAACAGGATGGCGATTAAATCTAAGTAAACTGAGAATATTTTCATGCAAGCGACCAACGAAGGGAATTTAAACGAGTCAAGCTCATTTCCAATCTACGCCTTAACAAATTGTTATTGGGAACATGTGAGAGCTGGTTTGCAGCAAGCGCCACCGCTTGATTGGATGATTGACGTCGTATAAGTCGAGAAAAAAAAATCCGCAGACCATGCAATTATCAGTTATCGAGATTGTAAACAAAATTATAAGGCATGAAGTATATTTATACCGGTTTTGAATTGTATCAGGTTGGGTCTGTTACCTGTTTAGTGAATGCGCTAGCAATATCTTTGCCATTTCATTAATTTTGCGTTTGCGATAAAAGGGCTATCGGTTTTCGTAACCTTAGGCTAAAGTTTGAGAACTACATAAATTACCTTGAATCTTATTGCTAATTTATTTGTGAATGTTTAGAGCTACGCGATAATATTGTATCTTCGTACAACCTGCGTGTGTGTAATGTGAGCAATAATAGGATATTAAAGATTGCGTTTGTATCTATAATAATGATAAATAATGACCAAGGCTGCTGTTACCGGATTGAAAGTAAAACTCAATTGAATATGTAAATAAGACAACGTGGTGGTATTCCTGAAGCAGTATCAAACCAGTACACGAGTCGTCAACTGAGTATTCTTCATCAACGTAAAGAAAAATGATCAACAATTTTTTATCGCAATTATTCAATTTTATCGCAATTATGAATAATTGGTTTCATCAAGGATTTGCGTATTTGGAGTTGCCATCGTCTTTTATTAAGCAATTTTATTGTTCTATTGTACCGTTAATCATAAGTACCTAATCATGTTCTTCTCGAAATACTAAATTCAGTATTTTCTCATTCGATAGATCAACAGAAATTAATCATTGGGGTGGAATTTTCGACGCTGTAACTTTGATCATATTCACACTCGCACTTCAACAAAACCACTAAATGTATCTAAAGACTCGTACCTAAGCAAAAGTTAATGAATCCTTTCGTGTGATTGATCCAACTTTAATTACATTTATTAACAAGAAATGGAAAAATCCGTTAAGAAGAAATGGAAAAATCCGTTAAATTTTCCGCTTCGCTCTTCGACTAAATTATAAGAGCGAGTTACTTTGTTGCTTTATTTACTCGTGTAGTACGATCAACAATTTTGATGGTATGTCTTTACTTAGGTTATTTAATATAATGAAAACGTTAAGATTAAATATTATACAAAAATACGTAAAACTGAAACAAAGGGAAACATTAGAGTACTTTTTTGACTATAACGAAATTTTATCAGCAGTCGGAGACAATTTCGGCAGTCCATCACTTATGTTTCCGATGAATCCGATGATATTGAACCCTTCCAATGAAAACATTGGTTTTCTTTGAGGTATAGCTATAGCAGTGACATTTATACATTTATACTATATGGTAGAGCCAATGGGTGCGCCAACTTGAGAGCAAACATTTAATACGCCAGTGCCATAACCACGCCTCAACTGCTTGGCGGCACATTTGATATTTATTAGATCAAAGATATTTTCCGGAAACAATAGATGGAAGTTTATTATATTTTTATTTTAAGCATATTTAACTGCTATTATTAAAAACTAAACAAAGTTTTACTAGAAAAATTCCACTCGGCATAGGTTTCAGGCGGGATTCGAACCCGTATCTTCCGCTATCCGGACCGAAAATTTTCAATAGAAAGTAGTGTTATATCGATCTATATCATGTTCAATTTTATTTGGGGACCTTTTCATATTTAGGTTTTAATACAAAAATTCCACTCGGCATAGGTTTCAGACGGGATTCGAACCCGTATCTTCCGCTATCCGGACCGAAAATTTTCAATAGAAAGTAGTGTTATATCGATCTATATCATGTTGACGCAATTTCGCTCCTCCACCACCACCCTTCAATTTTATTTGGGGACCTTTTCATATTTAGGTTTTAATACAAAAATTCCACTCGGGATAGGTTTCAGACGGGATTCGAACCCGTATCTTCCGCTATCCGGACCGAAAATTTTCAATAGAAAGTAGTGTTATATCGATCTATATCAGTTGACTCAATTTCGCTCCTTCACCACCACCCTTCAATTTTATTTGGGGACCTTTTCATATTTAGGTTTTAATACAAAAATTCCACTCGGCATAGGTTTCAGACGGGATTCGAACCCGTATTTTCCGCTATCCGGACCGAAAATTTTCAATAGAAAGTAGTGTTATATCGATCTATATCATGTTGACGCAATTTCGCTCCTTCACCACCACCCTTCAATTTTATTTGGGTTTTAATACTTTTATTTGTTTTCTTTGCAGGTTTGCAAGCCCAACATCGACTGCACCTTAGCTGATAACAGATGGCGCTATATCGAAGTCTTCGAATGCTTGGGCAACGATCACAAGTTGCTCAAGGCGATGCGTCTTTCGTTCCCGAGTGGGCATTCCTCCTTCTCAGCTTACACAATGATTTATTTCGCGGTGAGTTTTTCATAACACTATCTAGTACTTCGATTCCTCCATGAATAGGGTATTTGACAATATTAAAAATAAAGTGCCAATTGTTATCATCTGTGTTTAGAATGATTACTGGCAAGGGTTTTTACTATTTTTTACAAAAAAAAAATTCATAATTTTACTAAAAAACCCACGAAAAAGATAATAGTTTTCTTATCTATTGTCACGTGACCCAAAACGCTTGGGATTGGCGGAGCCTAAAATGACGTCACACGCAAGTAAACTTCCGGTTAAAGTGACATTACATTGCATCGTTTGACGTTTTAATAACAGTCGTGTGACACACTAGTAAGACGCCATATTGTCCAGAAAAACGTTTTCGCGGCAACTTGAAAATGGAGTTTTTGATTTGGTTATTTTTACTGAAATACACAATAGAATGATGAATATCCTTTTTACGGACTCCATAAACATTAGTCAATAACGTGAGATCGTTTTCTAAAACTTGTCAAATACCCTATTATGTTAAAATTATCTCCATATTTTTCACATTAGAATTGTACAGCTCACTTACAACGAGATTATAGGTCAGTTGCACCAAAAATTCTTTAATATAATTTGAATTAAATCAGACCTCTCATTATCTGTACTGACTACAAATGGTTCAAACACATAGTGATGTTTCAAACTGAATTTACCTTATAATAAATTTGATTTCACGAATGTTGGTACAAGGGGGCTTAAATGTTGTTTGGTATAGCTCTTTGTACAGCACACACAGCTGTTTTTCAGCCTATACAAAATGGTGAAAAGTATTTCTTTAAATTCAATATTTTAAGAAGTTCATTAAAATTTCAGATGTACATCCAAAAGAGATTCACGTGGAAAGGATCAAAGCTGTTCAAGCATTCACTACAACTGGTCCTTATACTGATGGCATGGTATACAGTCATGACCAGAGTGTCCGATTATAAGCATCACTGGAGTGACGTTCTAGCTGGTTTCAGCATCGGAATGATATTTGCTGTTATTACGGTAAGTCACTAACAACTGTCCAAAAAAAATAACAACTTAGTAGAATTTTAACAAACAATTTGCTTCCGCTTTCATTATGCGAACGGCTGTGTGGAGTAGAACTCCTTGCCGAGGTCTGTTTTCCCGGACCAATATAATCTTGACATCTTCAAGGCCAGGGTGAACAGGCATCTTCTAGGCAGGCGTGTACCATCCTAGGCCTCATCATCGCTTTCCAACAGGCGAGATTGTGGTTAAACGCCTTGCCTATTAAGCATTAAAAAAATATTGGGTTTACGATTAACAGAAACTTAATGATGTTTTTCCATATTTATAATTATATATATTAGGAATTAATATATGATAGATCGGAAGTGGTTAGCGCGTTCGGCTGCTATTAGTTGATGTTCAACTTGCTCAGTGGTCGGTTATTCGATGGGTGACCAAAAATTTACTATTTCGAGCTCCTTCGTGCTTCGGAAGTCACGTTAACCCGTTAGTCCCGGCTGCATCTGCAGTCGTTAGCAACCACCAATCGCACTGGACACGCATGGTGGGTCATAGCCCAATCTCCCTGTTCCACCCATAGGGAAGGCCTGTTTCTCAGCAATGGAGAAATTATTAGGCTCATGTTGTAAATATACGTAAAAGTATATAATTCTTATTGAGGACGGGCCTTTTCCGCGGCTCGACACATAACTTTTTGCATGCTAGGAATGCACTACTTCCTGCCAAATCAGCTACTCGGTCGAGCGATATTAAATACCTTAGATACACCACGTGCGCTCAAAATGTGTCCTAATCAAGAAGTGCTTGAACTCCTGAAGCACTTCTTGGTTCACAGTTACGCATGAAACGTCGAAAAGTCAAGATGCCGCAGGGCTCCGTAAAAAAATGCGAAAAAAATATTTATAGTACGTAAAGTGTTGTTTTTTCGACAGGTACCTAATCAATGTTTGTTAATTTAACGCATTTGAAGCAAACTTTGTACTAATACTTACTATAAACTGATTTAATAAAAAATGTTGTGTTATTCAAATGCATGGTCACTTATATAGCCATCTCCTTTCCTCGCGTACCTGCTATATTGCTAACAGCGCATTCAAAAATGCGCGTAGAGTCAAATAAATAAGGTCTATATTCTTCCGCATAAAGCAATAAGTCGTTAAATTTTACAAGTTTGCATTTGAAACTGTCAGAACGCATGCGTTTTAATTAAGACTTTATACAGTATGCATTAAAGGTGACTTAAAATGTTGAAATAATCCTTTATATTGTTTTTGACTACGCGATCATCTTACGGAGCTCCGTGGATCGTCCAATGTACCTTATGGACAGGTTTCGGCTACGATTTTGGTCGTGTTGTTGTATCTAGGGTATTATCGTTGACTCGCTCCCCTAAAAGTGCTATAGTCTGTTGATGTATTTATAGATCAAATAATATAAAAATAATGGTAATCTTCAATTCCAGTTTCTGTTCGTATCGAATCTTCGTAAGACGCCTAGAACGCGACAGAGCCACAATCACATAGAGGCTGAGTTGCACGCCACAAACGGTAACACAAGGTCGGCAACTCGAGTGCAAGTCTGACATCCGACACCCACTAGCTCCCAAACCGTTAGCGATGAGGAGCCATGACCCGAATCACCCAACATCGCCATATCATGGATATCGCACGAGTATATAGACAAATAGCGGTCGAAAAAAAATGTACCTCAAAATGAAAAATATTCAAACCCATGAATTCAAAAGCTGATGCTTGAATGCCTTTTGGACTTATAAATGCAACTAAAAACACGATATGGCTAAAAAGTGAAGATTTTGAAAATTGGTGAGTGACTTTATGGAATCTCCGCATTTAATACGAATTTTACTGTTAGAATTTCGTTGTGAATATAATTTTATTTAGATATTAGAAATACTAGAAGTAAAGAAAATTACGGCGCTTTAATTCGTCGATGTTATATATGATGAGGATGATCTACATGCTCGATGCGTAACTGAATAGTGCAATTTTAATGTCTAATCGTATAATGGTCCGTCAACCATTAACTTTAGTAATATAATCGGGTATTAGTGGTATTATTACTAACGTATAGCAGCGTTCCTAGTACAATATAAAAATAACAGATTATTGCAGCATTCTTGTTAAATTCTTGTGAAATGCAGCTTTTATACGTATACATATATATTGTATATAACTTGACAGATGTTAAAATTGTTCTAATGATATTAAAGAGAAAACATTTTTTAAGGTTTAGATAAAGCTGCATATGGATGCAAGTAATTTTAAGTAGATGTACAATTATATAATTAAAATTCGCACACGTCATATTTATCTACTATAAAACTTGTTTGTTGTATTATATTTAAACGAAAATCTCGTTTTCGATTTTGAATATTTACGTACATTTTATTAACTTCTATTAGTAGATTATAATATTTTTATTTTAAGCATTTAACTACTGGATGTTTAAATTATATACTTCTATTGTTCTCACACTCTCGCTCGATGGCGCGGATGGTTAGCGCGTTCGGCTGCGATCGTTGAAGTTAAGCAACTTTCGCTGTGGCCGGTTATTGGATGGGTGACCAAAAATCTTTTAGCTCGAGTTCCTCCGTGCTTCGGGAGGACCGTTAGCCGTTGGTCCCATCTGCATCAGTCGTTAGCACCCGCCAATCTCCCTATTCCATCCATAGGGAAAGCCTTTTGTACATTAATAGGTTGATGATGATTGTTCATACTATTATCCTGTTAAGCTGATTTGTGTGCAGAATATGGTACAATTAATGAATTAGTTATTAGTTAGACGTAATAACTTGTTTGTCTTTAAATTTACATAAAAGCATTTGGTGTTATAGAAAAAAGTCTACTGAATTATTTAAATTATATAAATATGATCACTTTTGACGTCTCGGAGACTGAGAAAGAATGTATTTTATATACTGTGATATAGCGTTGTAATATAGAAAGAAAGTTTACCATTTTTTGTTTGATGAAATTCTCTAGTCTATAATTCAAGATTCCAAGATTTACACCCAAACAAAAATCGTTCTGTTAAAAATGAAATCATTACACAGTTTTTTAATATGCAATGTGAAATTGGGAAAGTTATATTAAGAAAAACAAACGAAATCTTGAGTTATAAACTTTTGATTGTAATATGTAGTTATAATTTAAAATAGATACTTTTCATAGGTGCTAGATAAGTGTAACTTATACTCTAAATTTAGTTATTTTTAAGAGGCACTAAGCGTGTTTTGTTTAAAAAAAAAAAGAAATTTTATTATTTTATGATGGTAGTAAATTGACGTTGTTTTTATGGAATTTGACATTGCGTGGTTTTCTTGATTTGTTTACAATAAGCCCATAAAACGTGTCTGTAAATTGTTTTTGTAAAGTTAAGTCCTATTATAATTATTATGCGAATTCGATGCTCTAAGTTACAACCTGTTGACCAAATGAACAGTATATCTTTAAGAAATTCATAACTAGAAAGACTATTTACATATACAAAAAAATGTATGAGCTATCAATATGTTTATGTTTAAACATTAGTACGCAAAGAAATGAGCAATATATAACAACAAAACTATTTGCAGATTTATTAACTAGAAAATTTGGGATATTGCGTTTTGCAACAGAATGTCGAAAGTTTATGAAAAGCAAGATACAGTTTAGTTCAACATTTTACTTGTACAAATCAAATTAAAATTATCACGGTTAGCGTACGGCGTTTGCAAAAAGAGTAAATATTTAAAAATCCTTGCAACATATACGGAATACTATTAGCCATTATTACATGTCGAAATGTCTAAATCTACTTTTAATAGAGCTTACAAACATAAATTGAGCCATGCGCATTTGATTAATATAAGACTTCCTTTGGGCCGGTCGTACAACCGAAATCCTGTTGTGTTTTCCTTAAAGTTGTATTTAGGGTAAAGTGAACAAATTATGATGGTGTTTATTTAACATACAATGGTGTCGATTCTGGCATGATTCTCTAAAGCTAAACTTAAATTTGACAACAGTGTATCTCTGTCATTCTCTATACAGACTGAAGAGGACAGACTGATGTCAAATTTAGTTTTAAGTTTAGAGAATGCTGCCAGAATCGACACCATTGCCTGACTATTTGTGAGTTCTCATCTGAGGGTGAAAGAAAGCTAGTAATGCGCGCTCATCAGTATCCAATCTTCGGATCGTATTTACTGTAATGAAGCCCATCAACTCGAAAATTTTACTTTAAAAGTGACCGTTTTTAGTTTCGGTTTCATTTTATGGTTTACAATGCACTGCCTTTTTTTAGAAATATAGCAGCTATTTTATTTTAATTTGATGTATATTTATTTACAATATTTATGTTATTATGATTAAACTAGTTATAGTGAAGCATAATAAATACATGGTCTGATTTGAGACTTTAGTTTATTTGTGTTTATTTGAACCCTTCATATATGTATTATTTATTGGTACAAACAGCCACAGGTTAATAAACTGTCACACTTTTTCAAATGACTTTGAGCTTTATGTTCCTTCATATAAAATTTACAATCCATTCATAAAATTTCATAGTTTGTGCAAACTTTGTGTAGCTGGGTAGTACAGGTAATAATCATAATCAAAATCCTTTATTCAGTTTAGGCTGTCACAAGCACATATGAATGTCTAGAAGCTACGCCATCGGTTCGTAAATCTACGGCAGCAGACCTTGTACTGAGAAGAACCGGCAAGAAACTCAGCAAGGGCTGTTTTTTCTCCCTGTTTATTTATTTACAGAGTCATCAGTATAATGTGAAATTATACATTAATTGTTCACCTGCATTTTGATTGCTGTGTCACACAGTATAAATACAAACAGAATTTCTTATCTATTAGACAAGTCCGTCCGTCCGTCCGTCCGTCCGTCCGTCCGTCCGTCCGACTGTCTGTGGTGCTGTTTCAGCGGCCAAACCGTAAGAGATAGATAAAGAGAATGTTTAAGTTATAAGTTAAGAATAGTCTGATAAGACTACAAACCGGATTTGAGTAACGTAGCACTTCCGGTTTTCGAGAAATCACGAATTTCAAACGAAACCACACAAAATCTCCGAAGTTCTCAATTAATTAAATACATTTTTTTTTAAATCAGGTTTTGGTGAACATTTGGTTCACTGGTTTGCTAGTTATTTATAATAGGTGTTATTAAACTGTGTTTTTTATAATGATGAGTATAGTATTTCGTATATATAACATATGATTTTAGGTAATATAAATAAATGGAAATACGAAGTACACAATAAAAAAACTCAAACATCAAACAAAGTTTGCGATCACTTTAAAAATAGATTGTTTTTTGTGTTACAGAAGACTTTTTTGTAATTTATTTTCTGATAATATTCTGAATTTTAAAATTAGAATGTAAAACAATAAAATTATTCAATTACTTTTCCATATTAAAAGACATGCAATCCAAGCTGACACTCATTCAGAAATCTGGCTTAGTCAATATTATCGAATTTAAAATATTTTTTCACGGAAAATTGTGATTTAAAAAATGCCACGAGGATTATCAGATGTTTTACGAGCCAGAATTGTAACAAAGAGATTACAGTGGGCTAGGCTCCGGCAAAACGAAGAAGACGAAGAGGAAATCATTTGGCAAAACTGCCTCTTCGTTGACGAATCGCGAATCAGTACTCATCCAGATAACCGACGTGTCCGTGTTTGCAGAAGATCTGGAGACTCCGAAAGGCAAAGAACGGCCACTGGAACGGTTCAGCAAGTCGGGAAATCAGTGTCCTTTTGGGGTGATATTATGATTGGGGCTAGAACGCCTTTAATCCCTTATCAAGGCTTCATGACGGCAGACAGAAACAAAACAATCAATCACCAATCACCAAACCATGGGCACCAATTTGTACTGATTGACGATAATGCGCCCGCACATCGAGTTCAACGAGTCAATGCTGCTCTCCGAGAATACAAAATCACAAGGTTAGACGGGCCTGCCGGCTCTCCTGACTTAAACCCAATAAAGCACGCGTGGGATGCTCTTAAGCGAGCTGTTTGGAACAGCAGCCACCACCCCAGACAGCGCCGCAGCTCAGGGAAGCTGCTGTTCAAGAATGGGACAGGTTACCACAAGAAATGCTGGATAACTTGATCCTCAGCATGCCCAGGAGGATCTCCGCATGTGTTCGAGCCAGAGGAGCAGCTATTTTGTATTAGATAAACAAAAAAATATTAATAAAAAGTTTTTAAGTTTGGTTAAACTATACTTTTATTTCTATCAAAGTTCTATTACAATCGCCTTAGGATTGAATTATCATTTTTTTTTTACTAAAATGTAAAATTGGTATTATTTTTTATTTTCAGAAAGTGTATTTTAAAATAAAAATAGATATAACGGGAACATTTTCTCTTGATTAAATTAAATTTTGAAAATATATCAGCTTTTCCAAGTGATCTCAACCTTTTTAATGTGTGTACCTAGTACAAAAATATGGCTGTTCTTCATGTCAGTTTCTTTTACATTTTTTCGCAATCATTTTATCATTATGAATACTAAAAATACACTATTTTATAGCTATAACTTTATTTTAATTCTTTTGTTAAAGAAGTGAAAAGTTAGCTTAAATTGTGTGAATTGAACAACTGTATTTAGGATTTTTTGAATTTGTGTTGCCATCTTCTTATAGAAGCAAAAATTAACATCTGACATTTATTTAACAGAGCAAG